GCCAACAAAATGCAAGTCACAAAAGAGAAAAGTAGAAGAATGATGAACATAAAAAGCGTCTAAAATCTATTTGTTCATTGACTTTTCCAAAGAAAGAAGAAAAAGGGGGAAGAATTGTTCATCTTAATATTATAAGAAACAAAATTCAATCAAAAACAGAAACGATCACTATGCGAACTAATTAAACAGAATAACAATAGCACAATAGAGTGTAGACTAAATATTTCTATTACAGTTAGTGGAAACAGTGAACAGGAGCTTCCTTCTTTTGTTCATTTCTGGAAGTACAATGGCGACGAACAAGAAGAAGAAAAAGAGTTTATCTTAAAGAAAGCGGGAGGGAAGATATGGGAACAGATCAATATACAAAAGAAATGTGCAGGTGGAAAAACTAAATGAAAACACATTTTAAAGTAAGAATCAGTTCATAGGAGAACAGAAATATAAACTATCAAAGAAAAAATAAAATAAAACTAGTCGCATATTATTATTATTAGCAAATTCGATGATTAGAAAAAGGAGATTTCTATTTCGACACGTATACAGAAAAGGCATGCGGTAAATCATTATGATAAACGAAAATTGTTGTTTGTATCATAGACTAGATTCATGTATATATTTAACAAAAAAAGAAGAAACAAATAAGCGAACACAATGAAAGCCGACGATACAAGGAAAGAACGAAAAACTACCAATTATTTCTCCTTTTAAACAAATGAACACCATTATTATTACCATCATCACACAAACAAACAAATTAGCAAACCAGGTAATTAAAAAAGAGTCCTGTTCAATAACAAGACAACAAAGAAGAGCTATAATAAAAGATCATTTGAAAATAAGGAAGAATTTCGATCAAATACATATCATCACGACTAAACCACCTCCGACACACAGACACACAAGCATAGCTACGTCGTCTAAATATTACTGAGTAAGCACGAAGGGTAGGGGGTCGGACAATGGATGCAGTTTATTGTGTAGAAACACTGGACACACATCCATACAAACATACACTAAGTGGATGAGATGGAAGAAATAAACAGCACCAAAATAGTGTGAATATGGAATGAGGCAAAAAGAGCAATAATGAGGAAGCGAAGAAAGAAGGAAAGAAAAAACCCATTTAAAAAATACATGAATCGATAAGAATAAGTGGTAGTATTGCATCATTTTTTAATTAACGGTAGGCATAGTTGACAGCAGTTACTGAGAGTTTAAAGTGTATATGCATGTATTATCGTCTCTCATATACATATATATGATAACGGAACGAACAAGAAAAAAGGCAAACTGGCGGCGGCGCAGAATCCAAACACTGATATAAGGGCATAGATAGGGAGAGTTCGTTGCGTTAAATTAACTGGTAGTTGTAGATACATTGTGTTAGGACCGTCGACAATACATAAACTGATTGGCTGAGAATAATTCCAATTTTAAGCGTAGATGGAAGGCTAAACATAATATAAAATAATGAAATGTAGACAACTTAATACTTATGAAGATATTATAAGTTAACCACTAGAAAAACTCTGATTAAAAAGAATTGATTTTGAAGTTCTCACCTGGTGAACCTTAATGATTGGTAAATAGTGGCTTATAATCTTAATGTGAAACTGCTCAAATGATAACAATTATGACATACCACTCTATTAAATTAAACCACGACATAAGCGACCGTCTTTCATTGTCTTCCGCCGGTAACTGCCTTACACCCGACACAGTTAGCTACACTGGTCATGGGACCTCACTAGAACTTTGGAAATTCCCCTCCATTGTTGGTCGCTAGTGAGCACATGTTAATCGTCAGTAAGGAGCTGTGGAGATTGTTGATTTCCATCAAAATCACGAACCGATCAAAGTTAGACTACCTTTGAAAACATGAAAGCACCGGATGAGATTTAGTGAATTAAGACGTCCAACTCTCTTTAAATAGCAGTTTCGAACACCGTTCCGTCAACTTTGATTTGAGGATCGGATAGCAGTTTTATCATTGTAAGCCCTTAAAATTAGTGTGTGTCTCATACCCAAGTACCTGATGAATGAATTCTATCATAGATGTTTAGTCGTTCGCATGATCAGTGAAATTCATTTTGTTAATTTCAACTCATCTTACAAATCCATAATTCGCAGCCTTGCCACGTTCTATGTTGATGATAAATGAGCAAGCTCGTAAGAAATAATCATAAGAATGTCAACGAGTCAAGGGAAAGTTAACAACTTTCATTGCAGTGTTAAATAAGATTAAGAGTAATAGAAAATCCTCAACAAAAAATGTACAAACTGATTCCTCCATCTGTACAAATATATTCTCTTAAATACCTCCAATCCATAAGATTATTGTAGTATACTTCCATTGAAATCATGGACCGATCAATGTTAGACCACAATTGAAAACCTGAGAGCAGTGGACGGCCGTCCCCCTCCTGGTGGGAATCGAACTCATGAACTTCGACTTCACATGTGAACGCTTAACCTCCAGACCACTGAGCTGACACGTACGGTGTTAATGTCTAACTTCAACCAACCAACGATATTATGCGACCATCTTCCACGGTCTACGGTGGGTAACTCCTTCGAACCCGATAAAAATGAGCTCTATTGTATGCTTACTATGCTAAACAATAAATTTCTCCCACAAAATTATGTATGACATCATTTTAAAAAAAGGTTAAGCAATCCAATGCATAATTATACTGACATAATATAAACACAGAAATAATTAATCATTACCATTGACAAAATGATGCATACTTCATGATATAATTTATCAAACAAGATTATATTCTTTCAAATTCAACTGAAGAATTGTATCTTTTACAGCAGCAAAAACAAAACGTATATTCTCTGTATCAGTAGCACATGTGAAATGAGAATAGATTATTTTCTCAGGATCAGGATTTAATTCAACAAACATTTTTAGAATAAAATCACGGGCAGCTTCTGCATCGCGTTGAGGACCTTAAAGAAAAGGACAAATGAAATTACATATATATATATAATATTTTCTAATAGTACTAATACTTCTATTGACACTGTTATAACTTCTACTACTCTGTGACTTATTTTAAAGTAATTTTATCTCGATATTCTAATGTGATATAACAACTTAAGATGATGCGTATACATGTCAGGTTCTACGTTCTGTTGTATATGACTGACTACCTGATAGATATATGTTACTAATAATACTGATACGAATCAGTGAATTTTTAACGTTTACCATTTTACTGATCTTGAAATACTGATTGTTGATAAATAAAAAGAACAATAGTTGTTCATCTATAATAATTACGCACTGAAATGACAGTCACTGAGGTTATACACTGTGAAATTGTTTATTGGACAGTTATGATTACAGGAACTCTATTATTAATTTAATACATTTAGTTGTTATTTATTTAAGCACATAAATACTGGTACGAAGGAGTATCAAAATATATATGCACCACACAAAGTAATGATTATTCAATTTGTGTGAAAACTGGGATACTCCCCGGCCGCCCAAACCAAGCAATCGGTTTTCTCGGGAGGCTACTCCTTAAGCCTTTAATCAAGAAGTTTAACGCATAAGACAGAGGACCAACGTTTAATGTGCAGTTTCGAGGTAGCTGGTAACAAACAATAGGTTTACATGCCATTTGTTTCCTTAGGCCCATTGATACAAACTATTTCAACTTTCTAGAAGACAACAAATAATAATGTAACTGGGAAATCATAAAATGACAATTTTATGGTTCATAAGCCCAGGTATAATAAGCTCTCCTATCAAATATGTTCAAAATGATATATATAACGGAGTGCATACTGGATTTCGGATCAAGATTGATACGGGTCATTCATGATAGCCTAGACATCCCATTGGTCAAGTTAGACAACCAGTCAATAGAAAAGCTTGCATGTTCGAATTCGAGAAGCCTAAATCTGTATTTTGACATGTGGGTTTTATTTGCTGGGTTATCGATGCAGAAATTGAAGGTGAGTGAGCGCTACAACAACGATTAACAAAAATTCCTTGTTTATAAATACTCTAGAAGTGAAAATTATTTAACTATCCAATAAAATCAACTCAAATCGTAGCAATAGCATGCAACTGTTACTGATACTTAGATATTTAAACATATCTAAGACTGAAGAACATCTGTAACCTAAAACAAATGTCAACACAGTCCTACTGTATGGGGCACAAACTTGGAGAACTACGAAAACCATCATCTAGAAGATAAAAGTGTTTATTAACAGTTGTCTATACAAAATACTTCGGATCCGTTGGTCAGACACTATCAGCAACAACCTACTGTGGGAGAGAACAAACCACATTCCAGTGGAGGAAGAAATCAGGAAGATGTGCTAGAAGTGGATAGGACACATATTGAGGAAAGCACCCAACTGCGTCACAAGGCAAGCTCTCACTTGGAATTCTCAAGACCAAAGAACACATTATGCCGAGAAATGGAGACAGATATGAGAAGAATGAACAAAACTGGATAGAACCAGAAAGGAAGGCCCAGGAATAGATATGATTCAAATTACGAATATGACTTGTATTGTAAAAACAACTGACTAATATCCTATACATTCTATTATTATGATTGTATTACACATTGAGTTTCTTTTTTCTTCTCAAGTCAACAGTTAATGTATGAACGAAATCTTCTGCCTTGTATGTAATTTGTAAAATTCACTGAGATCTTAGTTTAATGAATAGATAGATATTTTGAATTAATGATTTTCTAATAAATGAAGATCATTTCAACTCATAATTTATGTAACTAACTAATATGTAAATTTACTACTGAAGAAAATAATCTAAATATAAGTACACATTTTATCATATTATCAGTATAAATTACCAAACCCTCTTACTCAATAAACTTGACCTAAAGATGTATGTATTTGTTCCCCTTTTTTCTTCTAAAAAGAAAAAAGGAGATTCACCCTTCTAAACTTTCTTTTTTTTTAAAATTACATGACCTTTTGTTCGTTTACAGTTTTTTTTTCAAATTTTTGTCATTTTATGTAAATTGATGGGAAAGATGATGATGATTACGAAGAAGAAGAAGAAGAAGAAGAAGAAGAAGAAGAAAACATTACCAATACAAGTTAACTGTACAAATTTGAAAGTAGAGTTTCATTTGAATGAATGAGAAAACAAGTGTACAACTTTGCATTGAAAAAAACATTAATGTTACGGAAATTGTAGCTTTAACAACGAGAAAAAACAACAACAAAGTTGTGTTTGAATTGCTTAACCATGCAACAATTTTAAACAAGTGTGAATCCCATATTCACCAGCTCAATGACACAATAACGATTGTGTTTAAGGTGTGATTACTTATTTGATATGCTGTGTGGTCAGGTATTTTAAGTGCACTATTGTATTCGTTTTTAGTCATTGAGTTAAGAAAATAAACTAATTTACTTCCTAACTAAGTCTTCTGATTGACTACTGGGGTTACAATGAGTTTGATGACAAAATAAGTGTGTTAAAGCCTTGATTATAGTTGATTGGCCGATGTGTATACTCGTAAAATAGATCATCGGTCCTATTGGCGATATAACACGTGATGTAGATCAGTCAGTAACAACGTAGAATTTCGTACGTACGTACATCAGTTCGAGTTGGCACACCACATTAGCACACAGATGCACTTGTCGATTCAAATCTCATAGTGGTAGAGGTGGTGAGAGTATAAGCAGTAATCCGAAAGATTAGGGTTTGAAGATGTTATTCAAGGAGTATAATACAGTGAAATAAATGTGGAAAGAGAAAAAACGGACACGAAGAATTCAGAAGATTAGAATTTGGGAGAACAGCAAGAGTGGATGCACCTGCGCCATCGCAAACGATTTTAAGCCATGTTATTTAAGGTTTCTAACCGTCGGTTGTTATCATCTCGCGGGCCCCATCCAGGTAGTCTACACCTACCAACATGACTCAGTTCACTTGTCAGTGACTTCATGCACTTGCGCCATGTTTTGGTCTGGCCGCCCCTAACTTTCTTCCAACCTACTTCTACATCATAAAACATCGCACGTCAGGGCAGTCGGTGGTTGGGCATACGTAGCACGGGTCCCAGCCATCTCAACTGATGAAGTTTTACTACGTCATCAATCGATTTGCCATCCTTACCTAGTACCCGTTTCCTAACAACTGCATTACTTACTCGATGGTCCCACGATATACGAGCAATGTTTCGAAGACACCTATGATCGAATACTAGTAACCAACGAATATCCTCAACTCTTACCGGCGATGTTTCACTGCCATAAACTAGGACGGAAAGAACTGCTGCGCAGTAAACACGTCCTTTGGTTGATAGACGGATATCTCGCCTACGCCATAAATGACGCAAGTTGGCAAAAGCTAGTCGAGCCTTCTGTATCCGTCCTGAGATTTCGTCACACACCAAACCACAAGGGCTGATGAGACTTCCAAGATAAGTGAAGCGACCGACAGGCCCAACTTCTTTACTCCCTATCATTAGTTCAAGTGTCAACCCAACCCAATCCTGAAGCAACATTTTGCATTTCGAAGGAGAGAATCGCATCCCGAACATGCTTGCATTGTTGCTTAGAGTGGTCAGAAGACTGCATTTTGTCAGCGTCTTCACCAAATAAAACGATGTCATCGGCATATTCCAAGTCAACAAGTGAATCTCCTGGTAGAAGTTCAACCCCTGGAAATTTAGATGAGGAAAGTGTCATTTCTAAAGGCACCTCAACGACAAATCCAAACAAGAATGGACAGCTTTGACGAACACCACTTGAGGTAATCAATTCTGATGACAATTCGCCATAAACTCTCACTCTACCAGTTGTGTTCGAGTAGAGAGCCCTTATAAGGTTAATGTACTTCTTTGGTACTCCTTTCGGTGACAAACTGCCACAAAACCTCACGATCAACAGAGTCAAATGCCCCATTAAGGTCGAGAAATACTACGATTGTGGGGCGTCTGAATGTGTGTCTATGTTCTAGGACTTGACGTAGTGTGAATATCTGGTCTATATAACCACGTCCAGGTCGAAAACCGGCCTGGTTTTCTCTAATCTGCTCTTCACGAGCTTTAGTTAGACGTCGAAGAATTATTGAAGCTAATATTTTAGACACTATATTAGTCAAACTGATTCCTCTGTGATTGTCACAAGAGGATTGTTGTCCGTTCTTATAGACTGGCACAATCAGTGATTGAGACCAGTCAGATGGGATTACGTCCAGTTCCCAAATTCTACCTAAGACCTCAGTTAATCTCACTGCTAATACTGGACCACCATCCTTAAAAATCTCAGGAGTAAACCTGTCAGGGCCTGCTGCTCTCCCTCGTTTCAGATTTCCTATGGCTTTTTCAACTTCGTAAAGAGTCGGAGGACCTACACTAACTTGCCATTCAGGTTGACTGGAGATCGTGGGAAACCGAAGTGTGGCTGAAGTCCAGTTGAACTGATCCCTAAAGTGTTCTGCCCATCGATCCAATCTCCTGGATTGAGAATGTATAATATGTCCATCTTTCTCTGAGAGTGTTTCGCTAACAGTCGGTTTCCTAATACCGGCTTCCTTAACAAGTCTGAACAGCTGTCTACCATTACCTATTGCCGCTGCCTTTTCCATCTCTCTTGCTTTCGCTACCCACCACTGTTCGCGATCATTGCGTAGACTTCTTTTCAGCTTGTGCTTAAGCTGACTCCGCTCTTCATTATGTTCAGAGCCAGGTGGGATGAGTTTCCGAGCATCTATCAGTGCGATAGATGCTGCTGAGATCCAGTGTTGCTCCCTAACCTTACGGGTTACCGTACTAGCAGATATCACTGCTGTTTCCACAGCTTTTCGGATATCATTCCATGCTGCCTTGGGATAGGAATCACATATATGGCTGCCTAACTGTTTTTCTAGTTATTCCTGAAGTATACTCTTATTTCGACTATCATTAAGTAGTATCTAAAGCCATAAAAATCACCATTTTCAAAACAAAACAGTTATAGTTAAAGTGCCCCCAAATGTCCTGATACGGCCGAGAGTGGGGAGTTCGCTCTCCCTCTCGAAATACTCTCACATGGCCACGCGTATACAGCCTCTGCCAGGGAAGTCCTACTCACTACCTTCTCGTGGCATTAATGTTGTTTACGAAAATCAAAGGACGAAAACCGAATGTCTGGCGCTTAAACCGGATTCCAAACCAATGGTGCACATGAGCTCCAGGATCCTGAAGGAACAAATGGCGTATGAGCCAATCGTTGGTCACCAGCTACCATGGGACTGCATCTCCTTACGATCCTCCACTGCCTAGTGGGTTAGACCTTTAGGTCAAAGGCTCGGGGAGTGACCCCCTAAGAAAACCACCTGTTTCGGTTTGAGCACTCGGGCAGTACCACAGCCCACACACAAATATGATGAACTGCCTATAATTATGGAAACTACTTTACTTGCTTCAACTAACAATCAAATAATTCAAATGATTATTATTACTATTATAAATATTATTATTATTATTATTTACCACATTATTCACCCTCTTTTATACTTATACAGCGGCTCGTCTTTGGTGGAAATTCGACTGTATCTAAACGTTCTCGAGTCACTGTCCGGTTGAAAATTGTATGTTACCACTGAATATGAGTACTGAAGCAGTTTTTCTGAAACCACGTGCACCATTCAAACTGGCTGCCTTCAATATTCGCACACTTATGCAGGTCGGACAACAGATAGGGCTGGCTATGTCTTTGGAAAGTCTTAATATCGATGTCTGACTAAGGAACTGACGACGTTGTTTACAAAGGTTTGGGAACTAGAGAGTGTACCAACGTCATGGAATGAGTAGATAGTTGTCCCTATCTTTGTCCGTAAGTATGGTATGTGCTTTGCACCTTCGAAGTGCAAAGTACTTCTACAAGACTGGCAGGACTCTAATCCTGTACTCACTTTGAACGGTGAGCAGATAGTAGTCGAAAAGTTGGTGTATCTGGGTAGCTGCATAAGTGCTGGTGGGGGTGTGAGTGATGAGATCAATGCACGAATAGTGAAAGCCAGAGCGGCCTATGCCAATCTGGGCCATCTTTGGCGCCTTCGTGATTTCAGTCAGGCTGTAAAACGTCGGATCTACAACGCGTCAGTGAGAGCAGTTTTGCTCTATGCTTGTGAAGCCTGGCCTCTCCGAATTGAGGATGTTAGACGACTCTCTGTGTTTGATCATCGTTGTCTCCGAAGGATTGCTGACATCCAGTGACAACACCATGTTAGTAATGCAGAGGTTCGGCATCGTGTGTTCGGGCACAGAGACGATAATGCAATCGGTGTCACCATCTTGAAACACCGAGAGATGGTGCTACACAGTGGCTAGAGACGTTATCAGATATGGCTCAGAATAGAAGCCAGTGGCGATCCTGCTGTAACCTTCTTTTACTTTCTTCATAAAAAGTGGTTGTGTCTCCCTTAACTGAAAGATTTCTTCTGATTGTACCTTTCCGTTCCCTCATTATTACTATTATTATTACTACACTACCTTACACCAATCTCTTCGTTACTGTTCTCTTTTTTTACGCTCCTTACCTTTTTTCTTTCTCTTCGAATTCTCATTGTTTTCTGTGGCGCATATATATTGGCGCTCTCTTGTACCAATATTTATGTGTTCAAATAAATAAATAAAAAATAAATAATGTAGTTAAAATGCTTAGGACTTATACAAAAATGACAGTTTTGATTTGGTCAAACGATAAGTAGCTACCGAAAGCTATTCAAATTAGTATATATTTATTTAGCCACTTGAATCACTCCTAACGTTTTATCAATCAATTGTTTTATTTTCGCGCAGAACGTACTTCATAAAACGAACAAGTCAACAATCAACATCCTTTTTGTACGTTGAAGATAGTTACTTCGAGTTTGAATTGACAATTTATGTTAAACATGGGTAAATACCAAACAAAATGTAATTAACCTTTTTTTAAGAAAAACAAGGAAATCATAATACTTACCATCGTATTCAGGAAAATAATCAACAAGGTGAGAATAGAGTACTTTCTCTTCTAGAAGATCTTTCTTATTCAGGAATAAAATAACAGATGACTCTTGAAACCATGGATAAGTAATGATTGTTCTGAAGAGCGCTTTACTTTCTTCCATACGATTCTATAAAATACAGTACAGAATTATGCGAAAATCATTCCATTTCATCTGAACGAATTTAAGCAAGACTTATTTGAAAAACACAAATTCATGGATGTGCAAAGTAGTGTACATTGTATGAAATTCAATTATACCATCCAATTTACTAGTAGTAAATGAGATTGTAACACATTTGAATTTGTTGTGACTCAAATAGTCACGTATTTTACAGTACTTAAGTGCAGAAATTAGCAACAAAATATTTTGTGTATATTTAGTCTGTTAGTTTAAAGTAAACTAAATTCAACAAAGCGTAAAATGATACATAACACTAACTCCTGCTCAATCCCACAAGTAGATAAACACTTTCCACTTACGTAGATTACAGAAATAACTATCTAACTGTGTGGTCAGACATCTCAAGTATATTATTGTCTGAGTTTTGAATCATGATTGAATTGAATGCAATAGAAAACTGATTTGCTTTATATTTTTATCTTATGATTGGGCAATAGGTTAGAAGCAGCTCGAGGACCAGTAAGCCTTCAGATATCACCTGTTCTCCATTGTTTGGTATGTTAATTATTACTTAGAAGGTCACCAATCCTACCGGTGGACATATGTGAACGAATGGATAATCGAACTAGGGTGTCACACAACTACTGTCCTGTCATCATTACGGAATGATCACATTAAGTGAATTAAGAAAGCACACTACGTACATATGTATAAACTTCCTGATTGTTATAACCCTTTTAACAGGAAATTTACAAAACAACTTAAAATAATGCTAATAAACTTAAGTAATTTAAAATCTATACAGTACACTAATAATAATTTGTAGAAAATGTTACATACCTCATTATCGGATTCCACCAAAACTTGATCATATTCAGATAATGCAACTAGAAACATAATTGAAGTTACACTTTCAAAACAATGTATCCACTTTCGACGTTCAGAACGTTGTCCACCAACATCAACCATCCTAATAAAATAAAAGCGAGATTTAATCAATGTAAATATTCACAAAGAATGAGTATTGTGATATCAAGTCATTAGAATATAAACATATCACTAACATCAGATAAATTCTTATCAATTATTTTTTTTTACCTTATACTAATATTTTACAATGAACAAAACTATTCCTATCCTATTCTTCCATACTCTGTTAACTATGGTGAGAAGTTCAATTTTGTAATAGAAGCTTTGTGTAATGATAACCTGACTAGAACTAAAAATACATTTCAGATAATTAATTGGTTATATATCGATAACAACTATCAGAATTTATGATCTGAGTGATTTTTACCAAACACAAATCATAGTAAAAACGTATTGAAAATCATGTAACGAGAATGTGTTGAAAGTTGACCTGACGTTCAATTCTAACGGATAATGATTACTTTCATTCTAAGTTGTAAATTGGAGATTGCAAATTCTTAACATTTAGGTACTGACATTCTATTAACCAACACCAAAGTCAGAATTTACAATACAAATGTCAACACAGTTCTATTGTACGGGGCGGAAACTTGGAGAACTACGAAATCCATCATCTAGAAGATAAAAGTGTTTATTAACAGTTGTCTATACAAAATACTTCGGATCCGTTGGTCAGACACTATCAGCAACAACCTACTGTGGGAGAGAACAAACCACATTCCAATGGAGGGAGAAATCAGGAAGAAGTGCTAGAAGTGGATAGGACACATATTGAGGAAAGCACCCAACTGCGTCACAAGGCAAGCTCTCACTTGGAATTCTCAAGACCAAAGAACACATTATGCCGAGAAATGGAGACAGATATGAGAAGAATGAACAAAACTGGATAGAACTAAAAAGGAAGGCCCATGACATAGTGGGTTGGAGAATGCTTGTCGGTGGCCTAAATAAAACCATTCTTTCAAGTTGGATTTAAATAAGTGACTGGTCCTCTTCTTAGATTACTGTTAACCAGGCTCAAACTTTAATAAATCATTCGTGTCTAGTCACCCTCTGTCTTCCCTTAAACTATGAAATTAAAATCGCTTCATATCTTTCTTTCAACGAACTAATTCTTTCTACTGTACTATGTCCTTGTTGCAATCTTTCTTTTATATATTAACGCCACTGAATTAACTACTTCGATCAATTCGGTATTTATCTTGTTGTGCTAATGCGGTATGGCAACTTGGAGCGATGCATATATGTGCCTGATCCTACGTTGTAGCTGACTAACTTTGCTAATTCAAATATCAGGACTTTATCAACTAAACTAATGAATATCATTTCACAAAAAAGTATCCGTGGATGCTGAAATTAGTCATTCTTTACGGCTGATTTGCAAGATGGAAATGTTATTTTTTTTTTAATGGAAGTCATAACTCCCGATACTTGTTTGGTTTGGTTGTTTTATAGCATAAATCTCATTTGTTTTTAACTTGTAAAACAAAATATTGCATTAAAATCTCAGTCATTTGGGAATAGTTGTGTTGGTAAAAGGAAAATGTTTGAAAGACTTACCGAAATATGATAGAATCCAAATCAAACAAGTACTCTACAATGCCTGTAGTAGGAACTCGAACTCGTAAAATATCTTGAAGCGTCGGTAAATAATCTGATTGTGAAATTCGGTCAAGATTATCTAAATAGCTGTGTATTAACAGAAAAATAGCATACAATTAATATAATAAATAAAATGAATTATTTACTAGTGATTTTCAGTTACATTTACATTTCATGAAACAATGAGACAATCACGTGGTGTATGCTACTTATTCAGGCCGATATAAGTAGTATGTAGCCGCAATCTAAAGCGGAATGTCTGGCAGCAGAAGATTGAATTGAAGAGAACAGAAAGGTAATCAGAGAGCAATCAAAATAAAAACAGAATTGGAAAAATAAAGGAATATATAAATAACATCGCAACGATATGCAAACGATGTATCTAATGTATGATTTTTATATTTTACTAAGTCATTGTGTAGTTTTGCATTAAACAATAATTCCGTCCCCCCCCCTGAGTTCTCGTTCACTACGGCCACACGATGTGTCATAAGCTAACGAAACAAAGACCTAACATTGAGTTTAAATCTTTGCCATTACATTAAATTTTAGCTGCAACTAACTTGAACGAT